GCACTCCCTCTCTTGAATACATGCCGAGAGAACCCCTAGCCATTTAATCACATAATGTGATGGAGGAATTGCAGTGAAGGATTCGGGTTCATTCCCTCCCCCAAAAAAACACTGGCTTGTCGATAAGGAACTTAGATTAAGTCCCCAGAGTAAAGACTATAGGGTTTCCTAATTACAGTAATATAATTCAAGACTTCAAGACTAAACATTCTTCCAGCAGGATAGTCTTCGCAAGCTGAGGGGCTGAAATACAGGCCATGATCTAAACTCCTTAGATGGTGTTATATAGGGGATCAAATCTCCCCTTTATTTAGGGCTTAGGGTCTAAACTTCTGAAAGAGGGTTTATATATGGGATTATATAGGAGAGTATTATGGGGGTTATTAAGGGGGATACTCGGAGTTGACCATAAGTCATATGGGCCAGGCACTTAAATTTACCATCGCAGGAATACTTGCTCAAGTGATTGTGTTTTCCTTTCACCGCCATATCCCAATTTTACCCTGAACCCAATCCTATCTAGCGTGGCCCCCACCATTCGGAATGTAGGTGCGCTGGTTATCCTAGGCCAATGCATCCACTCCTGCTATCCCAAACTCGTTATCCTGCATCTTGTCTGCACGAGCTAGGCGCGATGTGGGTTGAGAGCCAGCAACGCGGCTCCTCATAAGTGGAATGGAAGTATACCCAGGGTGTATGGGACTCTAATTTACTGAGGCTACCATTTTAAAGCACCACGAGAGCCCGACAGGTTTCAGCAACCGTTACTGTACCATAACTTGCTCTCAAACGATGACGTATTCGCTTCAATTTGATGAAGAAGGTCGTTGTCCATTGTCTATATGGCGGCTTTCTAGAAAGCCTATAAAGCTTCTTTCACATGAGTACACCTCAAGCGTTGAACGTCTAGGTCGGATTGAGTTTTATCCAGCAGTTTCTGGCCATGAACGGTTACGCCGATCCAGTATTCAAACCTCTCTCTGCCTGTTGCAATTGCCTTTTCAATGCTTGACGTTGTCTTTCTATTGGTTTTGGAGTTTTGCTGCCGTATCAATCATCAAAGACTGAAGCCTTGTCCAGGCGTCGAGCCTCTGCCAGCATCGGCTTCACTATGAAGCCTTGGTCATCAACTGATGCCTTCCTGATCTGAGAATACACATTGCCTCGGCCCCCCAGCATGCCTAAGTTGGGCATAGGTCACCCTTCTGATTCTTCGGCCATTGTGGATACCTAGTTTCATTGTCTGGTGCGCTTCTGCATCCTATCTGCGTGAGGAGGAAGATATTCTTATCCATCGGGAAGCTTTTGGTTTTTGAATATGGAGGTAACGGTAAGGAAAAAAAGTAGAAGTCTGAGATGATGATGTCAGCTGTCCCTCCTCAAGATTAGTCTCAGATTTGCCACAGCTGAAGAGCGGCCGTGGCCATGTTATACAGAATTTGTCAAGCTCACAAGAAAAACGATTTGCACCGAGGAGCCCCTACCGCAAACATAGGCCTAACCCAACCCTTCCAAGGCCCTCGTAATACACCAAATTAGGGATATAGTGGGTACTTGGGCCCTCTCGGATTGGTGGGTAATTAGGAGGAGGGCCTATAGGCGTATACGAACCTTGGCCTGCCTCCGGAAGTCCCTCACCTTACCAGAAAGGCAAAGCCAGAGCCAGGGTATGTACCTTGTCAGGTAGTGAGACTCTACAGAGTGCATCCCCTCTGACCCTCACAAGTTCTTGCTAAAGCCTTGGAAGCCGGATCCTAAACCAGAAGCCCTAAACCCGGTAACGCGATGTACTGCCTGGATCTTCAGGTCCTTCAATAGAACTGCTGGAAATCGCCCTCTCGACAAGCATGAAGCTCCAAAAACCTATACAAGGCGTCAGGAAGCAGCTGCAGCCAAGATTGCCCCACAAGCATCTCGAAAATTGACTCCCCAGAAGCAACTGCAGCCAAGATTGCCCCACAAGCAACTTCAAGATTGATTCCCTAGAAGCAACTGCAGCCAAACCCAAAGGCCTCTCAAGAAGCGTTTTTGCGGAGAATCACTCGGATCACCTCAGCGGCCAATACTGGGTGCCTTGGGCTGCGGCAGGCTGAGCCAATATGTGGGACTTGGGGTTATATGGGGGTCATAGAAATCAAATGGAAAAGAAAATGGAAGATTAAATGGAAGCTGGGGCTTTTGGAGGTTTGCTGGGCCAAATTAGCCATGAAGGGTTTATGCGCCAAATTAGCCATGAGAGGAGTGAGCAGGGCCTGCATGTGTGTGTGTGAGATCTCCCGAAGAAGCCTGTTGCAAAAGGGAGCCCACAACTGAGAGAGCTTGCGTATTGAATGCAGGGATTTGTCTCGGTAAACAGCTGTTCCTTGTTAAGGCCGCATGCCGGCCTGTTCTCGACATAGCCTAAGCTTGTTTTTAGCTGCTAGCTCTTCCTAACTAAATCACCTGGGGCTTTCTCCAGCTGATGGTGTCCCATAGCCGGGAGTATGGTATGGTGGACTCATGTGTATAAATATACATATATATATATATGGGCACTGAGATTTTGTTTGACACAAAGCTCGTCATCGAACGGAAGGTGCAGCGCTAAGTACTAGTACTTGCATTCCTCCTTGAAGTCTGAGGTCCTTGACATGGGCCCCTACCTCTTCTGGGGTCGGCGGTAGTGGCCGGGAATTGGAATTGAGGTTGTGGGGTCTTATAGGGTATTGAATGGGTTGGGGGCTTTGCGGCCAAGGTTCCACTATATGGTAAACTGCGACCCATGTAATCCCCCTTAAGTAGATAATATGCGGTATATGGGGATCTTATTATGATATACCCAAAACCATACTCAATAAGGGGGACTATAGCCCAAGATTTCATCGCAGCCGCCCAAGGCGAACAACCCTTGGCAAGTCCGCGCAGATGCCTCCTCCTGGAGTTGCCCGGTGTGCATTCATGGGTTCAAGAACCCCAAAGGGACTATTCAAGGACATCATCTACTACGAACCCACGAAAGTACAGAATGTTTGGAGAAGTCTTGCCCCGAGCCAGTATCCCTCGCCCCCCTGCCAAAACACCCAAGACTTGTGCCACTTTGTGGTGGGGACTGTGTGGTTGTAAAAGAGGGTCCTTGCTCAAGATGATTTCCTCGTGCCTGCTGTAGTACGAGGCTTAGTCTTGCTTGTAGTTGTCCCATGTAAGGGAGGGTTTTGGCAGGCCCTGGTAGGCCTTTGGAGCATATGCAAGCTACTATATTATGACAGGGTATATGTATATATATATGTATATATATTCTCAGCCAGATTCTACAGCAACTTCCAGTCACTTGCCAGCGCTGTGTAGGTATGACGTCAGCTGGTGGTTTATTTCTTCCTTACCTTACACAAAAAGTGGCCCTGCTGCACAAGAAGATGAGAACTTCCTCAACTTTGTTAGAGATGTGTGCCAGAAAGGTGGGTATCGTGGGCGTCCCTAACAGGGCTATCACGATGCGTTTGCGAGTTTGATTACATGTGCTACTGATGTGATTGACATGTGAGAGTCCAGAGTCTAGGTCTACGATCCCAATATAACCCCGATATACTATAATAGTTTCCATTTTATTTTCCATTATCCCAATATGACCCCAATATATTATAGCAGTTGTGATTCTCAGCACCCTGCGCTCTGTACTGCTTTTGCTCCCTCAGGACCTCGGAATCCAACGCTCACAGAACATGCGACCCGGGAACCGGCAGAAGGCGAAGTTGTGGATCGCATTCCGGAAAAAGTGCACATCCAAATTTATGGTTTTGCTACCGCACGCTCGACAGTTCAAGCATGGCAACTCGTAGAATTGTTTGGGGAATGTGCCAGCCCCGTATTATTAGAGTTCGGGGAGCTCATGCAGTCTGTGAAGTAGGACTTAGGGCCTAGGGTTAAGGCCTTGAGGGGCTTAGGCTCAGCAAGAGACAGGGGGTGAAGGACCTAAGCTTTACATGGGGCCAAGGATCTAGGGTCTATAGGCGTCTATAGGAATTCAGAACTGATGAATCTGAGCTTAGGTATGGAGGACTTCGGGGGCTGAACAGCGCTGCTTGCTGTTAGAAGGCGCATGTTACCATGAATCACAAAATGTGCATATGCTAGACCTCCAGCTTCAAGTACTTCTGATACAGCTATGAAGTCCTTGCCCTCTTACTTCTGGTGAGTCCCTAAATGACTGAAAGTTCGCCGAAAATGCAATTTGAATGAGTATGGGTAATCAAGTGTAGATAGAGCGTCACAGTAGTCTTTTTTTTTGAGGCTGGCAGTCCAGATGGAAGAGAGAACCAAAACTTCACATGGTGGAATATGTAGTAGGGAGAAACAGCATCTTGCTGACCAGCACCATTCTGAAATCTTTGTTGCTGGGACCCTCTGCATGGGTCATTACTCGCCTGGGAGCATATTTAAATTGCACAGCAAAGAACGCAACTTATCATGACACTTAGGGCCTAGGACTCCAATCACCTTCATGCACTCATCGCCTAGTAGGGCCAAGTATCTCCTAACAACAGTTATGTAAACATGCAGGTTTCAGATTCTGCATGGCAAGGACTTGGACGGATGTCTGTTTGCCTAGGGAGGATTTATTGGCGTTTAGGTTACGGTGAGGATGATGACTAGCGAAGCCTCCAAACATATCCCGCACTGTAACCTTGAAGCATGCTTGAAAGACCTTTCGGCTTCAAGCGCTTACCACCTTTGCATTGCTGCGTTCGACAGCGCGTTGGTTGTGCGCGAAGGATGGCCGTGGCTAGCCTGCATTGTACACCTGCGTGCTGTGGCAGCAAGTAGAGGTGCCAAGCGGCCATGTTCAGGTCACGCTGGAAGAGTTGGAGAAACGTTTGGCCGCCGTTGAAAAGTCTCTGGCGGCAGAGGGCAAAGGCCGGCTGCAAGGTAGGAGAGCCGATGGCAAAGCTGAATGGAAGTCTTGCTGTGCAGGCGGGGAAGAACTTAAGCTGCAACGAAACGGCGGATCAGCTGGCCTGGACATCATGACCATGGCTGAGGAGACTTGAGCAAGGAACCCCTTTGTTAGAGGCGGTTTGCCAAGGTATGTCACTATGGGCCCGGCAATTTCTCTAATCAGCTGCCTTTCATTTGCAGCGGGGCTGGGTCAAAGAAAGCAGGTGGCAATTCTAAGTCGGCGCCGAGAGGCAGCCGCACAATCCACCCTGTCTCAACAGCTCAACCCCTGCCATTTAGCACGGTTTCAATCACCCATTTCCGGATCAGGGGGGTGCCTCCTGCAATCCTGTAAGTAGTCACCTTTTGGCACAGCTCACGCATGGCTGAGCCAGGATCTAGACCAGCTGAAAGACGATGTCAGAGAGCTGAAGGATCTGCTGGGCGAGACGAACCACATCAGCCACGTAGTGCTGGCATGCCAGCATGACATGAAGGCGCAAGACAAAAAACCGATGCTTCACGCTTCCATGCCTTGATGCCTTGCTGCATTTGCCAGGTTTTCAGTGCCGCAATGGGCGCTGTAAACATAGCCTTGGATGAGATGCGCGCACGGGTTGATACCACGCATTCCATCATCACCAGCCGAGACCGCGTGGAGGCGTGTGTCTCGTGATGTCACTGCCTGCCCCTAACCACTGTTAACAAGGGATCCTAGCAAATATCAATCAACTTTGATACCTGAAAGGGGTTGGTTCTGGATTGCAAGGCTCTCTTAGCTGGCAAGACGAAGGATTTGCAAGGCCAGGGCCCAGAAAACGCCTTTAGACGCTCAAGTTCTTTGACAAGATTGCTACCCCACACCCCTAATTCATAAACCCTAAATACCCTAGAGTAGCGGAGGAAAGTCAGCCTCAAACTGTCGTGCTATGGAGAAACTCGAGATCTCTGGGGCAGCGCCATGTGAATATCCTTTGGGGGACTGTATTCCAATAGTCATGAAGTAAGGGAGTCATAGAATGGGCTTTGGTCGCCCCTGGATGCCAAGTTTTGTGGTGTCTGGCTTCACATGTTGCTATGCCATAGAGCTTGGTAATAAAGTCATGGAGTCTTGAGCCGTGAAGCCTTTAAGCTGCCACAGGAGCCAAGATGGAGGAGTGGTCAAGATAATGTTGATGATTGCGCCCAAAGCACGGTACTATGGTTTTTCAATAGTTTCCGGGATAATTCGCAGGAAAGCAGCCGCGTGTGCAAAAGAATGTCAAAAATCTCGCACAGGTCACAATGACTGCTGAGCTTCCTGCTCTTGGCATCGGCGATGGTACAAGCCGCCATAGCCTCAATTTATCCCAATGTGTTTATCATAGAGTAACGCCCCATTTTTGCCATGAACAGTTGAAGAACTCAGAAGAGACAGTAATTTGAGCCGAGTCCTACCAAAGTTGAATGGGCTCATGCTTTCCGTGTTTGCAAGGCGAAGAGCGCAGCCTCCGGCGCAAGCGTCAGTCATGCCGCAACGAGTCAACTTAGGTGAATTGTTGTGTTTTTATTTTTCTCGGTGCATGCTGTGGGCAGGCCAAGTTGCACATGTACGAGCAGAAGACGCCCAACGTGGCCGCCATGCCCTCGGCAAGCTTTAGAAATGCTCACTGTGCAGGTCCCACACTTCTCGTTCCTTCTACACCTATCTACACTTCTTTCCGCGTGGGGCTAAAGGCAAGCAAACTTTGGATGCAAACATTGTTCCACAAGAGTTCCCTTCAGGTGTGGGGGGGCTTCAGTTTAACCTGTGGATTAATATATGGGTTTGGGGAAAGTACCTGCCCAAGTCGTTAGCCTGAGGAGCTGGAGCAACGCCGTTTTCAGAGGAGTTCCTTGTGGGGAGGACTATACTGTTTGGGGATGTTTGGGGTTGTGGAAGTGGACCCCCTTTTCAAGGAACATGGGAATTTAGGGTGACCATGGCAGCAACAGCAAGCAGGTCAGCAGTGGACAGCCGTAACGGCATGGTGTAGTAAGGGTCAAAGTAGGTCGAGGAGCAGTAGCAGCATTGCATCGGTACCAGCGCTAGCAATAGCACTAGCACCAGCTGCAATGACAACAAGGGGGATCATGAAGGTGAAGCTAACGACTGTATGATTATAAATTAGCAGAGAGACGTCATCATTGGCATCCTATAGTCAGCGTGCGTACAGAATGGCATATCTTTCCTGTGTCAAGCTTACAGCTCTTGCCAGGCCCACAAAGAGGTGCAGGAAGTGAAGCAGTGGGTCTTGGTCGTCGAGACCAACTGCAAAAGGGACCCGTGGAGATCTTCAAGATGGTGGGCATACGTAGGGATATACTTTTAAAGCTAGGTCCTACGTGCTTTTGGTGAGCTTCGAACTGAAGTAGGGTATCGCTCATCTAGCTCAATCCCATTGACCTACCTCAAACCAAGAGTAATCTGTTAGGGATTAGGTTTTAGGGATGTTTAACTGCAGCCTTACAGCCAAAAACCTCATAGCGAAGTGATGCGGTCCTGCTCCAGGACGTGGAGGAGTTGCGACGGCTCATCGAAAGCTGCGAACAGCAGCTGGAGGAAGCTGAAGCGATTCTAGGACGCAAAAGCGGCCCCTCAGCGTGTGAAGTTTCTTTCTTGTTTTCTTCTGTTCTCCTGTTCTGGATTTTGTTAGTCCTTAAAACCATGCGTGCCGCGACCCCGCGCATGAAATTGTTGCTTGAATGGTCATGGGTACGGTAATGGTTGTCATTTGGACTGCTATTCTGTGATCTTGCTTGCTGCTGCTTGCGACTCTGTTCCATCGCTCGTGATATCCAATTTGTTGATTAGTGAGTGTTCAGTCTAATCTTCTTGAAGGGGGCTACGCAGCGGACAATATAGTGGAGTATTATAGTGGTTATTGAGGGGGATACCAGGACTTTAGACTATAGCTCGCATGTTCTCGAACAGCCCCTTCCCAGCTATTTGTAAACATAGGATTAATAATAGTCGTACATACTCCATGACCTTTCTGAGGCATTTCTGACTACATATTGTATGACGACAAAACCCCGTGCTGGAAGAACCCTAACCCCTAAACCCTATGTTTCGAACCAAGGACAATCCACCAGAAGCTACGAAGGCTTCCGAAACAAATTGTGGCTCGGACGCTTCCAGCTTATGCTGGGTTCCCTACATTCCCCCAGGTTTAGGGTTTAGAGTTTCAATTTCATTTTTGCTTTCTTTTCCATTTGATTCTCCGTTATAAAGGGAGAATATAGTAACCCTAAACCCTACACCCCACATAGCCGTGCCTGCCGAGTGCGATGCGCGTGCCTAAACCCCATATACCCCCTATATATCCCTATATGACATAGTAGTTTCCATTTTCCTTTCCATTATCCCTAACTAACTTAGATCAAGTTCCTTAACAGCAGCCCAGTACGTCGCATAGCAGGCCAGCACCCCTTGCGTTCTCAGGTGGAGTCCCTGGCAAGGACTCTACGAGCCCACTAGGCAAAGCTGCCGTGGGCAAGTGAGCCGGTCACTTGATGTTTATGGCACGCAGCACTTGGTCTGTACTTGGTACAAAAGACGGCTTCTGGGGATATGTTAAACCCTAAATCAGATTTGACGTTTAAGCTCAGCCACGACGTTGCAATTGGCGCGCTGCCATGTCATGATGTGATAGCCCTCTAATAGCTGCCTTGCACTTCTCCAAGATTTAGCCTTGGCTCATCGTGAAACAGCTTTATATGGGGGACCATATAGGGAGTATTATAGGGCTTATTAAGGGGGATACTAGGAGTTTGGACTATAGCTCATGTATTAGTGGACCTTCCCCTAAACTAAACCCCCTAAACCCTACTTGGACCTTACAACCTACCTCATCAAGCGTTCAAACCATCCTTGGCCAGGCCAAAACTGAAGCGGATGGTCCTACCAAGCTTTCAGGCGGAGCCTTACCACTCGTAGGGGTTCCTTTTTTTAAGGGTTTATCGGTTTATGTTATATAGGGCTTAGGGTGTTTAGGGTTCCCCAAGTTTTGGGGTACAATTATGAGGTTTGGGGTCTGTATAGGGGTCCCCCTATTTGGGAAACTACCATAAGATGCATTCTAAGCTTGAAGAAGTACATGGTTTAGACATGTAGGACTACTTCTGACTCCTGAGGCTTAGCATATGGCTCACAAGGGCCCCAGAGATTGTTGAGGGATGGGAGGCTCCTTCACTCTAAATGCTGTTTGGATGTTTGAGATCGCTTTGGCTCTCTTGAGTCAGGGAACGCCACGGGCCACAAGCAATGTCCGAATCAGATTGTGTGTTGACAAGTTCGAAGGAGTTTAGCCAACACTGGCCCTGAGGCGTTCGTGGTCTGGGGTGTCATGATCATGGGCAATGAGATTATAGGCGCACTCTTTGTACGTAGCATCGGTAAGTGAGTTTCCCAGTAGGCATATTAATATGCGAATGATGATTACAGTTGCGAGCAGCATTCAGCATGACATCCGAAGATTTCTTAATCCATCGTATTCACGATGGAAGCTAGGGCACGCATGAAGACTACTTCAGCCGAGTTTCTTGCATGCTGTGACGCTGGCTTAGAGGTTTTTGAATTGTAAGCTAGTAAGTAGTGCTAGGCTCCCATGGTGCTCCTGCCCGCACTTGAAAAGGAAAACCCGAGTATTCAGGATAATTGCCACTGCGGTGAACACATGACACGGTACTAGGGACTCCCCATGGTTTACGGTAAAAGTTCGACCTTAGCGACCTTAAACACTCTGCAGTGCTGCCGTATCTCCCTTCTGATAAGGACATATATCCCAAGAAAAGAGGACTTCAGGGTTCTGAAATGATATGAAGCATATAACCCTGCGTGCTCCCCTGAGGTCGATCTGATGTGTGGTCTGGGCACACCATGTGAAATCAACGGCGTCTATTCCGATAAAGAATCGCAAAGTGGGTTTCGAAACAATCCTCAAACTCATACAAACCCTGGCTCCTCTTCCTGACACCGAAAGCTGGTATTGCTAAGCCTCTCACCCACCCCACATAGTGCGAACCTCTCGCCACTTCAGCACTTCGAGTTAATTACCCCAACGATACTGAAGGTGAATGATGAGCACATTTAGTATCTGGGGAGTAAGTAAGGGGCGGGGTTAAGCTTGGGGGAACTTGGGTTGCTTGGATGATCTTGAGGGTCAGTCGTTCGCTCATGGTGGCTACCCACGTTCTCATACCCTGTAGCCCTGAAACCTAAACCCCAAGCTGGCTGCGCCTGCCTTATCCCTAGACACAAATTGTTTCAGATCCTGAGCCCTCATAGTACCTATCTGAAACTAAATTCTCAAATATCTCAAACCTGAAGCGTTAAACTAGGCCGGCCCCTGAACCCTAAAGCTTCATATATCTCCACGGCCTCGGCCCGGAAACTGCATCCACAACGCGCGATTCTTTGGACACGGTTCTTTGAAGACCTGCGAAAGTTCAGGTTTGAGAATTTTGGAAAAGAGGGGTTTCTGAAATGAGATTCGTGGATGTTGCTGGAAAGATGCAACCATGGGTTTCCTTCTCTCCCACTGGGGCCCATCCCAAAACAAAATTGGATGGCATGTGTTTGCAGGCACTATGCGGTCAAGGTTATAGGTACCCCTAAATCCGGTACAGAGAAAAGTCCTGGGGCCTCGGTCTCTT